TTCCCCATATCCCCCCCTGACCTGAAGTCGGGCCTGTCCCTCTATAGGAGGAATGTTCAAACATATTGAACGATTCGTTGACTTTTTTTTGTGTGTGCGAGAATTTTTTTGACTATTTCTTAGCTTCCGCCCAAAATCCGCCTGTAGGAAGACATGCCCGACCTGACCCTGACCCGTCCTCAGTCCTCCTCCTCGCCGGCCGGCCTTCGCCTGCTGCCGGGTGCCCTCGGCCGCCTCGGCCATGCCGCCGCGGCTGGGGGCCCTCGGGGGCCCCCGTGCACGCCCGCAGGAGGGGGGTGGGGGAAAGACGAGGAGGCGCGCCACCCACGAAGGGCTCAGCCCGGAGCGGGAGCGGGAAAAGTCTGCGGAAGCGCTGGCGCGTCAGAGGCGGTGCTCGTGGTGATGCAGCTGGCAGCGATGCTCTCTTGCCTTTTTGCTGCGGCCATGCTCGCCCAATTCCGCGACGCCACCCCTCCCCTGCCCTGCACTGCCCTCCCCCCTCCCATTCTCCCCCCTCGCTTTCTCCATTCCTCTCTCTTCTCCACCACGTCCACATCCCTGCTTCCCCGTGCCCCTCCCTCCCCCCCTTGCTCTGGTCCCTCCCCCACCCCCACGCCTCCTCTCTTCACCGCGTCGCACCTCGCCTCAGTTCACCTCGCTTCCGGAATCCCTCATCAGCCTCCTCCTCCTCCTCCTCCTCCTCCTCCCATATTTTTGATGTGAAGCAGGCTAAAGCGTCATGGCTGAAGCGTTCGGACGGTGGAAACAAAAACAGACTTAGCACCGTGAGAGCAAATCCGCCGGCCCCCTTGTGGGGCCACCAGGCTGCGAGGCACGGGTTCGCAGTTTCCAGTACCAGTTGTAGCTTGTAGTTTCCAGTGTTACAGTTCTGCTTCTTGCTGGTTACTGTAACTAGTTGATTGACCGCGCGAGGGGGGGGGAGGCCCAAACGGGATTTTTAGCGTCCCCTGGGCGCGTTGTCTGAATTGCTGGGGGGGCTCGAAATCGACACCCCTCACGCAGATCCGCGGGGTCAGGGTCCAAAAACACAGGGGATTTGCCACATTTCTGAAATTCGGTGCCACCCCTCACGCAGATCCGCGGGGTCAGGGTCCAAAAACACATGGGATTTGCCACATTTCTGAAATTCGGTGCCACCCCTCACGCAGATCCGCGGGGTCAGGGTCCAAAAACACAGGGGATTTGCCACATTTCTGAAATTCGGTGCCACCCCTCACGCAGATCCGCGGGGTCAGGGTCCAAAAACACAGGGGATTTGCCACATTTCTGAAATTCGGTGCCACCCCTCACGCAGATCCGCGGGGTCAGGGTCCAAAAACACATGGGATTTGCCACATTTCTGAAATTCGGTGCCACCCCTCACGCAGATCCGCGGGGTCAGGGTCCAAAAACACATGGGATTTGCCACATTTCTGAAATTCGGTGCCACCCCTCACGCAGATCCGCGGGGTCAGGGTCCAAAAACACAGGGGATTTGCCACATTTCTGAAATTCGGTGCCACCCCTCACGCAGATCCGCGGGGTCAGGGTCCAAAAACACAGGGATTTGCCACATTTCTGAAATTCGGTGCCACCCCTCACGCAGATCCGCGGGGTCAGGGTCCAAAAACACAGGGGATTTGCCACATTTCTGAAATTCGGTGCCACCCCTCACGCACATCCATCGCAAGGCGTGGTAACCCAAACTGCGAGTACTCCCTCGGCCCTTTAATCCCAAGGTGTGGTAACCAAGCTCGTAAACCATACACGTCTTACCAATCGCCCTGTGTGGTAACCCCTCTTGTGATCAGTTGGTTTTGCCGATTGCGAATCGGCCTCGCATGAAGTTCCGATACTGCTGCACGACAGCGCCAAAGCCTCATGACTTAGCTCTTCCATGGCCCATTCTCCGAGAGAGGGGGCCGGCGGCAGGGGGCGAAGCCCTTACGGATCAAGGCGAATCAGGCGGCAAGCCCATGCGGTGGAAGATGGGCAACAAGTACGGAAAAGCAGAAGGCCCGGAAAGGCGCCGAGTAACGGCGCCTGCCGCCAGTGTGGACGGGGGAAGAGATCCTCAATAACATCATCTCCTCCTCTGAACATACAAGAAAGAACCGAATGAGAGGGATCGAGTCACGCGTGCACAAAGTAGTGCTCAGATGCATAGTGATCGGCGTAGGCTCCTATGGGTCTGAGCCGCAAGGGTATGCTAGGCATCTGTGAACCTGATGCTTTGTGTCAGGTTAGATACTCTCACACTAAGTCAAAGTATACTGTGAAGCTGAGCGTGTGCTTTGAGAATGATCGTGTGCAACTTGAGGCGCAAATCAATTGCGAGGTGGGGGGCCTGTATCACTCGGCGGTCCATAGTGGGCCAAAACCCCGCTGGAGGCCAAAATGGCCATAGATGTTCGAAATGCTCCCCCTCCCAATCAGGAATCAGTAACGCAAGAGCTGGCGCCGGCTGAAGAATGGCAGAAGAAGAACGCTGGTGGGCTGTGGCTACCATGGTTGGGCAAGCTGGCCAGGTCGGTACCGGCTGGCCTTCAGCAGTGGACAAAAAATAGATGTGAACGGTTTGGCTGGGCAATTGAAACTTGCTGAAGCTGCCACATGAATATGGCTGGCCTGTGGTGCCACCTGCAATATCTGGCTGGCCTGCGGTGGGCAATGCGAACCGGGTGAGGTGATGCGCCGTGCACCGCGTCTGACGGTTGAAAGGACGATGGGGCCGCGCCCTGTAATTCAGGGGTCCCGAACACTGCTGTGCGCCGCTACCCCTCCCAGATGAGCCTCAACACACCGCCCCCATCACCACTCAGCATCACAAACGCAGGCGATAATAGCGATTGCCCAACAATATTGCAATTGTATTGAACTGCCGAATCGGCACAGGAGCTATAGCGAGTGCCGTGCTCAGAATGCTGCTGTGCGCTCAACAACTGGCAACCGAAGAGGTAGCGTAGAGGGACGCTAGCAAACAAGTGAGTGAACGGCTGAGGCTGGATGCTTAAACTTACTGGGGATGGCACATCATATGGCTGGACTGTTGCTGCTTACCGAAACATCTGGCTGGCCCGCCGCTGGCAGGGCGAAGCGGGTGCCTCCTTTTCCACCGAGCTGAGATGCAGCCCTCTCCAAAACGTATGCAGCACACAGATGCAAGCGGAAGGACGAGGTGGCCTAAGAAACGCAATTGCGTTGAGCTGCCGAATCGGTGCGGGAGCTGAAGCGAGCACCGTGCGGGGCTTCGCCCTGGAATCCAGAGGGGGCCTGAGCGACCGCCGTGTACATCAGATCCCCACATGCCTCCACACCTTTACTTTCCCCCATGCCTACCGCCTCAAGATGAGAACGCAGTAGGTAGCGTCAACAAATAACAGCAGCAACTGGATGAGCTTGGTGCACGTAGTACTGGCTGGCCTCTTGGGAGTGCTAACGTAAGAACAGGGCCAAGACGTGTAAAGTGGTAATCTCACGCGCCTGCAGCAATTCTCGGGCTGCTACCCGAAGTGATGTCGGTTCATCCCTGAACTCCTTGGTCATGGGTCCACCGTGCTTTTTGTGTTTTTCCGGGTTGAACATGGACCCTTGTCGTTCTTGACGGGTGAGAGCAGCGAAACCGTAACTTGTTTAAGAGGGGAGCTGTATTGACGTAAGTGGCCCCCCAGCAGCAGAAGAGAAACGAGGCAACAAGGAGTAAACCGTGGGGAGTAACCACGTGTAAGTTGAGACGGGGAGGGTGGCCGTGGGCACTCGAGATCCAAGTGGAAGCTGACGCTCCGGAAGCAGCTGCTGCGGTCGATGCGAGGCCGTAGACTAACGAAAAAAGAGGGAAAAGGAAAAACGAACAAACCGAAGACTGAACACACATACACAAACATAAAACATTGGGAAAACAAAAAAAAAAACTGCGAAGCAACACCTCTTCACGGTGCGTCGAACACCTGGGCTTCGGCGTCGGTGGCGCCTTGTTCTCGGGCGCTGGAGATTTGGGTTTGGGCACGAGTGGAGCTGTGAACGCGGTAGTTCTCTCGCTGCGGTGTCGAGTATCCTGGAGCCGTCGGGTCCGTGTGCCCATCTCTTCTAACATATCCTTGGTCGCGCCGCTGGTGGTCGCGAGTGGTATCCAGGTAGGGTAGTAGCTGCTGGTCGTTGGCGTCGTGCGTCGTCCACGCGTTGTCTATGAATCCACCCACTGTATGCTGGCAGTCGTGTAGGGTCAGTTTGTCCATCTATCATGGCAGGTTGGGCCTTCGGGTGGAAGTACGCTTGTACAGTTGCCAATTTCTGTGGCGCACGTAGCTCTGGCGGAATGTCCACGAGCCACCTCTGTGCAATTGCCGCTTTAGGTGGTGGGCATACCACTAAAATCCTGAGGTGCGCTGGTGGTGTGTGTATCTGGCCGCGGATAGCCCTATTGCCGGTACTGGCCTGCGGTGTTGGAGTCAACGTGCTGGCTGGTCGCTGGCTGGTCGTAGGTAAGTCGACCAGTTGGGTCGGCTGTGTGTCTTGGAGTGGAGGTGGTGGCGCAGTGTCGGGGTGGTCGCTGCTGGCGCAGGGACTGGTTGCCGATGGTGCGTCGGCGTAGCAGAAGGGTATGTCGCGCTGGCCGCAGATACCTTGTCGCAAAAATGCGGTCTCATGTAAATTGACTGCCCAATCGTCTGTCATGCAAGAATGGAGCCATTGCGGGACCGTCACGGTAGCTTTGGTAGTGCGGGTATCTAATGTTGTCGTAAGCATGTTGATCATGTTGTGGATGTACAGGTTGAAGGATATAACTGCTAATTCGTAAAACAGCGAAATAAACCAGCTCATGCTGTGATTGCACTGGCTGAAAGATATACCTGCCATGTGCTATCTTGTTTGTAAGTCAGCGCCATGTCGTCGAGCGATGTGCCCACTTGTAGCCTCGGTCATGTCTGGGAAGTGGTGGTGGTGAGAGCGTTCCAGCATGGATGGCGTCCTTGAGTACAAAGTGCGTGGGTGGCTCTGTAGCCTTCAGGTGGGAGCTGGTCGAACGACAATTGTGTCGCATTCATGTCTGGCTTATCAGGTGGGTGTGCCAGTGCGTGCGGGCATGAATTGCAGATGAAGAACTCGCGATTGTATTTGGGAGTAGCTTCTGCTCCTGCTTGGGAGGAGCTTCTGGAGTCTTTGGTGCATGCTGCATCCTCGTCGTTCAATCGACTTATGTTTTGGAGTCTCTCTGCTTGAGGTTTCTCGTCTAGCATTTGCCTCTTGATGACTGCTCTTTGCCGTCGGGGGGAGTCTGTCTCTTGGCCAGCGTTTTCTATTGCTACTACCTGTGGTGCCAGTCTGCGGAGATGTGCCACCTTAGTCGTATGCCAAAGCTCCGAC